CCCCACGCCCCCCTCCCCCTCCCTTTGCTCCTGGAAACTAGCCATCCATCCATATACCTCAACCCCCAGCCCCCCGGCCTGGCGTCAAAACAGCTTCACCTCCGGAGGTAGATCCATCTCCTCGGCCTCCGGTGTCGGTTTCTCCATCGACTCCTCCCCCTCCTCCTCCTCCACAGCCCCGGTGTCTAGAAGAGCTTGCGCAACAACCGAACCTGGACCTTCAAGAACCAGGAGTGAGCATCCTGTGACCCCACTTGGTAATGGCTTCTCAGCACGTCTAGTTGGGATGTTTGCATCCGTTGCCGGGAACAGATCAAGAAGAAGATCTGCAGGAATTACTATCAATGAAGGGGTGTCACAGTCACAGAACCTGGGTTTTTACTGTATTAATCGCGGTAAGAAGGCAGCAGTCGCTGGTCCTGGCAAGGAGGGACGTAAGAAGTACATCCAGGACTTGATTGAAGAGCTTATGGCAAAAACTAAACATGAGCTGGAGGATCTGTGCAAGAAGGACCGTATTAAGTATATGAACAAGAAGATCACTACGACCGCACTGGCTAAGCTACGAGTCATTGACGCATACGGTGAAGATAATGATGACGAACAATTTAAGGAGGAGTCTCAAGAGGAGAATCCCTCTTGATGATTTGGTGACTTACCTGCCACCTGGATCTCTCTTGAACGGTTAAGAGAAAGAAGGAGAAATGAAGGGTGGCAAGGGAAAAGTGTTGTTGAGTTGGATATTTTTATGCGGTTTCTCTTTCTGACATTGGTATGCAGTGGGCAGCTGCAATGGGCCAATAAATTTGTCAACCTTTGGGATGAGTCTCTAAGAAGTATTGATGTGTGTGGGTGGAATAGGCAGTGTGTGTATGTGTTACTGTCTCCCTGGTTTAAGGCAACTTATATCGGTTCTACTACTAGGCCGCTAAAGGTCAGATGGGATGAGCATGTTAGGAGATCCATGCAATCAGTAGACGGTAGGAACCACAAACTTAGGAGATGGTTCCAAAGAAAGAATTGGTCTAGCTACGTTGCTATCCCGATTGCCTTCCCGCCTGCAGACGAGATACGGGAAGTTGAGGAGGCACTGATCTCCAGGTGGTCACCAGTCCTTAATTGCGTTAGAAAGAAGAAGAAAACTCCCGACCGGCGTAAGAGACGGAGGGAAAGGAGGACTTTCTTAAGGACTATTGGTCGGAGGGAGGAAGCGATGAGCACGAACAGGACGTTCGTATGCTGGGACACGTCTCATATATCTCTCACAATCCATGAACCATGGAACCCTTCCTCCCCTTCTTTTTCAATTATCAAGACTCTGAACAAATTAGCAGACGATGAGATCCTGCATGTCAATTTGATGAGCACTGGAGGTTGTTCTTTTTTTGACTCTTGGGGAAGGATCCACAGATTATTTGGATGGTCTATTGTGAAATTTTTGAATAAGAAATGTCTTTTGAAAAATTTGAAGCACGAATTTCTGCAAGGCGGAATTTTTCACATTTTGAGACTGAGACGGAGAACGAGCACGACTGTTTTGCGTCGTGATATATTAGCCTCTCTTCTCCAGGTCCCTAGCACTAGGCGAAGTCTCTACAAATCTAACTTACATCACCTAGTAAAGCTTTATAGTTCAATAGAGACTTTCCACAAGGATAAGTCCCCCATCATTTTGAAGGGAGTGGTAGGAAGGGCACTTACGTCCGTATGCGGTTTCCGTTGTTTGGCTCTAACGGTTGTAAAAATTACCTTTGACGATTAGATTCGAAAGTCACGGATCAATGATTTGACCAAGTTGGTGATTAGGAGACACTGCAATGATAAATGGCTCGCCGACTTTCTGATTTCTAGGCTCAGAATAATATGGACCAAGAATAGGTTTGTTGCCGACATATTACATAACCATAGACTTATGGCTAAGCAGCCCACGACCATCTGTTCGTGTGCTAAGAAGGACCTCGACTTCCCTAGAAATATTGAAGGACATGTGGCCTTTAGATTCTCTGAACTTCCGGATCTTCCCAAGTGCTTAAGCAATTCGAAAAATGTTCTACCCCCTTCTAGATCTCAATCTGTTGGGAGGATTAAACGAGCGTTGTCCGAGGGCTTGTCACATATTCCAAGCACGGATGGGTGGGTTGGTACTTCTATGATGATCCTTTCATGTTTTGGTAACAAAATGGGAAGCATTACAGTAAAAAAGGAAGCGGTCTTTCACAGGAGGGAAAAACTGGAGGGCCTGGTAGTGTCACCCATCGACCACAATATTGGTGACTCGTATGTTTGTTGCCCCGTCATATATCATGATGCCCTTGGTAAGTTGTTTTGGGGCAATGAGGGTTTTGAGGTGGAAAGTAGAGGGGAACACGAAGTTTAGACTGAGTGTGCGGAAGGATACCTTCGGATTCGGGCACAGAAGCTGGCCCCATGGAATAAAAGAGGGTTTTTGAGATCAGTCTACGGGATTCCCAAACACAAAGATATGACAAGGCGGAGGCCTATTGCACCTTCCTTCTCAGATCCTAGCATTCGCGCATGCAGGCTAGTGTCCAAAGCTATCAACGGTCTCATTTGGCGTGTTCCGGAGTCCTCCCATTTCAATCCGAAAAGCACCGATCTCTTGAAGAAGTGTATTGTTCGTCTAAACCAAAGATTAAGTACACTAAAGGATGGTATGATATTGTCTGCGAGTTTCGACATCAAGGAGATGTTTGCGAAACTCCCGCATGATGCCATTTTGAGCGTTGTGGAGTGATGCGATTTTTTAATGCAGAAAGGACACAACTCAATCAGAGTAAATAGAACTGGTAAAGGGACTGTGCTGGGAAAAACATTTGGTGAGCAAGGATTGTGTCGGGTAAAATTCTCTGAGATTATTGAATTTACTAATTATGACCTTAATAATACCTTCTCTAAAGTCCTTAATTTAATCATTAGACAGAAAATTGGCATTCCCATGGGGAAGACTTCTAGTCCGGCCCTTGCCTTTCTCCTCTGTGCCCACTATGAGTTTACCTTCCTCAACTCTTTGGGTAACGACCGCTGATTGATCCAGGGTCTCAGACTGGTTGACGACGTAGCTCTCTTTATTATTTTACCAGATAAAACCGAGTATTCTCTTGAGAAAGCTAGGAGTTTATACCACCTTTTTCTTTCCATCTACGATAAGAACCTGAACGTGGTACGAACTGACGATAGGGATGAACGATGGAAATTTTTGGGATGTAGAGTAGAATGTCAGACCTCCCCTCCCGCTGTGAGATGTGAGGCAACCATTAAGAATCAAGAGTACATCTGGAGCGAGAGAGGAATGATTTTTCTGTCATCACAGGACTTTTGGTCCTTCGGACCAAAGAGCCAAAAAGTGGGATTGATCAAATGCCACATGAACAGGGTTTTAACCCACTCCTCTGGTAACCCACTCCTCAGACTCCAGACGAGTGGGTTTGTTTTTGCTTTCGTTAAGGAGAGACCTAAGGTTTAAAGGGTTCCCTAAGGTTTTGTTTTTCAAAGCATCTGAGGAGTTTCCTGGGAAAAACAAAAACTGCTGGAAAGGCTGGGTTAGAATTATATCCGAGGGTCTGTTAGGAGGACAAAGATGCAATTTTAACATAAGACAAGCGTAGCATGGTCTGTTAGGAGGTTAGGGATACAATTTTGACAAAAGGCTAGCGCGACGTGGTCTAACACGCAGCACCAGAGGACAAGACTTTACGAACGACAGGGGACTTACGAACAAAATGATGCCACAGGATATCACACTGGCATATAAAATCCCGTATCATGAATGCCAATAAAGATCCTGCATGCGCCGTCTTCGGTCCGACTTGGGTACCAGCACGTGCGCTGCTCCACCATTTTCACCATACACGAGTTCTGTAGGATACCTGTGGCATCTACCTCATACCCCCACTCGCAATCTCCCTCCTCGACCATGGCATCTGCTCTGAGTTCTCTCTTTCCGCCATTATTTTCCGCCTTACCTTTTCCTTCAGTCTGTCTGCCTACCTTCTCCCCTGTTGCTACCTCGGGTGTCTTCCCGCCCGAACTATGGCAACTACACGACTACCATTCTGACCTTCCCATTCTCGCTGATGATCTATGTTCCGCTTTCTCTCTCTCTTTCTTTCTCTCTCTCTCTCTCTCTCTCTCTCTCTCTCTCTCTCTCTCTCTCTCTCCCGCCCACTCTCTCTCTGACGTACAGACACACACGAAACCCCCCATTTTTTTTCCGTTATGAGATGTTGGTTGGATACTCAGATCTATATATGACGGGGGTAAGAGGACTAGGTAGCGCAATTCCCCTTATGATGGCTGCGACGGCGATGCAACCGGAACATGTCGGGAACTCTCGCTGTGTTGCTCTTGGTTTTTACGATTTATGTTAACGGAGCAAACTTTTTCTTGCGCTACCCAGGTGTCATTTCTTCTTCCTTATCTTCAACTATCCATTCGCCTCCCCTTCTCTCCATCACTACATTCGCCCTTGCTCATCGTGTGTCTCTGTGCTATGGCGATTCTCTTCCTCATAATGGCTTTGGAGCTTTGAGTCGTAGCTTTAAGACTCACATTTCGCTCCACTGGCGCACACACACACACACACAGGTAAGATTGTATATTTCCATGTTCTAGTGGAAGATTCATTCGATTTTGCTTTTTTTTTCGTTCATTGATTGCTTGCTTGCTTGCTTGATTGATTGGTGGGGGCGGGGTCGCCCCCCCACCCCCCACAGGCGCACATACACACACACACACGCAGTATTGTATATTTCCATGTTCTAGTGGAAGATTCATTCGATTTTTTTTTAATTTTTTTTTCCGTTGATTGATTGATTGATTGATTGATTGATTGATTGATTGGATTGATTGATTGATTGATTGATTGATTGATTGATTGAGTGGTGGGAGGAGGGGTCGCCCCACCCCCCCGCCACCCAGCACGCGCCGGCACACACACACACACACACACACTTAGCTGTTCTTTTTTTTTTTTTTCCT